GGGTGCTGTTGTGGCAGGCTGGCAGCGTGATGCAGTGCTGGTACTTCTGGTTGGGTCTGCTGCTGGTGCCCACCGTATGTTTACTCAAGGACTTTGTCTGGGCGGCGTAAGTAAAGCGTACGAATATGATAGAAACGCACGCGCCGGTATATATTTCACCACGTTGGTTTCGCAGGACACGTCGCTCGGTGAGGAAGTCGCTGCTGGAGGAGGTGCAGGAGCTGGAAGCGCGCGCCGTGGACCCTGGCGCGGCGGTTCTGAGGGACGCCAGCGGACGCAGGTACAGCATCTTGCCGTTTGGTTATTTGACCACAGCGGGCCACCATACATGTTATGTTCAACTAGTTCTTAGTAATTACTGACACATGGTGCCCCCCCAAAATATTTGAAGATGAGAAGCTGTTACATTGTGGTGAGAATATGGAGAGCGGTGAAGAGACTTTATTTGAAAGTAGATTTTTATCATTTCAGTGAATATGTGAATATATGCCCAATTTCAAATTTAAGACAGGGTTGAAGCGATCCACCCTCCGGTATCAACCATTAACCAGGAACTAGTCGAGATTTGACGTATAGTACTTGCCATTTGTATTCATTTACTGTGGATGCGTTTTATTTATTTTTTTCTTTTTGTTTTATTCATATTTCCGTTTTATATTCGATTTGTTTTTGGAGTTTCCTCATTTAGTTCATTGTATTTATTTCTGTTTTATGTTAGCTATAATTGTTTATATTCTATGATTTTTTTAGTGATAAATTATTTTTATATTGTGCGTATTCTGTATAGGACATTATTTGTGCTCCGTTTCATTTTATTATGTGTTTATATTTTAGATTTCTTTTTTATACATATAATTTGAATAGGCTATTTATTGCCAATATAAGACTTATTTCAAATTCCTGTTTAAATCCTGTTTTTTTTTGTTTGTATGGATTATCTGTTTAATTTTAGTATAGCCATAAAGTCAAGCATACATGTGGTGAATGACTTCATTATAACTTAAATCATCGTCGTCATCATCATCATCATCAGAAGCCAAGGCAAGGTCAACTTCCCGTAGAGGCGGCACAGAGGTAGTCGCTCCCGCGTGTCAACTGTCCCGCTGTGTGAACACTGACCGCTAACGACCTTTCAGAATTTGTTTTTGCATGCTCATCGTTTCCATTTTTCCCCTCGTTTTTTTCAAAAAAAAAAAAAATCAAACGCTCCGTAGGTGGACCAATTTGACCTGCTGCACGGACCTGGTGTGTTGGTCTTTCGATAGACTTTCTGTGTGTGGTGTGTCTGTGTAGGAGTGCTAGAAAGTAAGTCGTTTGAAGCATTTGGGCTCCCGCATCCCAAACCGTGTCGTTAACACGTCGACTGCGCCGATTTGCTTGCTGCACTTACGCGGCAATTAGCGGCCCTCCCTTCAAACGCTCCTTTATGCGCAGAAACAAGACGCTTTTCTATGAGCGTGCCACCCCAAAACCCGCCCCCGCCACCTTCAGGGGCCTGAGGTCTGCTTTCATCAGATCCGAACGGGGCGAGGAAGCTTGCCACTCATCATCCGGAATGAGAGAAGTTACAGTATAGCGTCCGGCGGGGCGGCAAGTTGTCAAAAGAGCACATCTGTGTTTGTAGTCTGGGAAAAGCTGAGGAAAGGTAGGAGGAGAATCCCCGGGGGAGAGTTGGAAATGGTGCACATCCTTTGTTTCTCGATTGAACGGACATCATTTGCGTTGGCCGCAAACTCACTAGTTTCCTCCCACTATTCCCTTTCAAGGCTTATGTTTCCAGGAAAGCCCCCTTGCTTTTTGCAAAACACATCTTTGTGACTTTTGAAGCGTGTTTAAAAAGCATGTTAGCATGGTTTAATAAATATATATATAACTTAAATCACACACACACACACACACGTTAAGTCGGAATTGTACGACATTCCGTCAACTGTAGTATGGGTTTGCGCCCACACCCTGAAGAGCGGTGCTAGTCACCACCTAACTTGCAAGCTAACAGGCTCCTGAGGTTCCTCTTGGTCGGGAAACGAGCGGCGGGTTCGTCCGTGCCGTCTCCTCCTTCCTTGGGAATTCAAATCACAACACTGCGTTGTTGTGTACTCGGAAATTAGGCATTTTCATGTAGGGCAAGCTAGCCGGGGAAATTAGGCGGTTGGGTTGTGTAGGGCTAGCTAGCCGGCTAGCTAAATCCACACGGTAGTGGTCAAAGTGGGTAAGGTACAGTTTCGACAAATGGCCAAAGATATTCAGTCTTCCTTTGGTTTTATTGTTTGCAGTGTATCTTTTGGGGAAGTGGCAAAAAAAAAAAAATCCTTTGAATCTTTTCGGAAGGTTTTCCCGACGTTTGAGGTGATTCGATTAAACAGGCATAATTTGCGTTAGCGAAAGCGTCCTTTCCCAGGAAACAGCTCTTGTTTTTGGTGCGTAAGAGCTCCAGTCATCTACGTCATTGTGGACAGGCGGCCTCGACGGTGACGTGACGACGGGGCGTTCGAAGGGGGGGGTGTTAATATGAGCGAGGCACATCGTTATTTTTGCACGACTGGAGGGGAGAGGAACCGTGACGGCGTGTGGTCTTCACACAGAGGGTCCAGTCTTCTTCTCTGAGAGTTGGGGAGTGGGGGGGCGGGCAATGAGGGGGCTTCAGAGTGGTTGCCCGAGGCCCAGTCCATTTTGGACGTCGTGTTTGATGCGAATATGTGCCACACAAAAACGGAGGACGTCCAACTGTACATGATCCTTCTTGGGCTGAATATCCAATGGATGATTAGAGAGGCATGTTTGACGATTTTTTTTTTCTTTACAAATTCAAAAAGTGAGGGTCAACTTCTATTTGTGAGAAAAATATGCACATTTTCTTATTTGAAGCTCAGAAGCATTTTTGCCAAATTCCAACCTGTTCAATATGTTGAGCAACTTCAGATTATTAATTAATTTATTTTTTTTATCATGTGCTGGTTTGTCGGAATATATTTTTACGTGGTTCTGGTCCTTGATGCAAAAAAAAAAAAAAAGCAGAAAAATTACAGTTTAACTGATCAAAAACCAACCCCCCCCCACCTCATGCGCCGTGTTCGTCATAATGCCGGTGCGGATCGAGGAGCCCCGCCCTCTCCCCGGTCGCTGCCCCCTCGCTGTCCAAATGGGACCAAAAGGTACCCGGGCATCCAGGGTTCAACCTGTTTTTCTTGAGGGACGCGTGCAGACCCCATCCCAAACACCCCCCCCCCCACCCCCCCCCCCCCTTTTTTTTTTTTTTTTTTGACCTTGGAAATGAAACGTCTCCTTCCTTTCTTCTGCCTTCTCCCCGCAGTCTAAACGAACGTGCCCATCTGCTGACAAGAGTCTTTAGGAAGACGCCCTCCAGCATCGGACGCTCCAACTCGCTGCAACAGCCCGTCACGCGTGAGTATGCCGCACGTTTTAACCCTTGACGATCGGGAAAATCGGTCCGCTCACATCTGCTTTACCGACACGCCATACCGCATACCCCCCACCCCGCAACCCTCCTCCCTCCACCCCGCCTCGCATCCCCCATCCATCCATCCACAGACGGCTACGCCTTCTCTCAGGAGGAGCACGGCGCGGTGTCCCAATCGCAGGTGGTGCGCTCGTTTCTTCGCCTTTTACCTGGTTTTTAACGACACGAAAGTCTGTCTCTCAGAGACCTGCCCCCCCCCCCCCCCCCCCCCCGCCCCCACACACGCACGAGATGCCGCCACGGCAACAGGACTCAGCGCGTACGGATTCTTCCGGACTACGCTTTCAAAACATAACGATTTTACACAAGCGCCGCAAATCAGAGACTGCTCGGGAAGCCTGATTGGTGCGTTCCACTGTCCCCGCCTGTGCATGTGTGTGTGTGGCCGTCGGTGGTGTGTGTTGGGGTGTGTGTGGTGTGGTGTGTGTGTGTGTGTGTGTGTGTGTGTGTGTGTGTGTGTGTGTCAAACAGTCCCCCCACACCCCCCCCTCGCGATTCAGTCATCACATGCCGACATCAGAAGGGAACGGTGAGGGTGGGGGGTACACGTCCAAATAAACACGCACGGATGAATTCCATTCCGAGCGCTGCCAAACACCACAGGGGATGCGAGTGAGGCGGAACGCTTGGACCCCCGCCCA